TTTCAGCACCTCCGCATCCGATTCCTTGCTCCACCCCGGCGGTAGTGACTTTCCCCAATCTGTTGTAGCGACTAGGAGGATCGTCGAGATCCAAAACCATGCCGGGTCTGACCTCGTTCATGGCGGAGGGGAAGAGGAGGGTGGAGGAGGAGGGTTCGTCCTCGTTCATGCCAGAGGGGAAGTGGAGCGTGGAGGAGGAGGGTGCGACCTCCTTCATGGCGGAGGGGAAGACGAGGATGGAGGAGGAGGGTGTGTCCTTGTTCATGGCGGAGGGGAAGAGGAGAGCAGAGGCGTCGATTGGGAAGCACGAGAGCAGAGGCGTCGACGGGGAAATAAAGGGAACGGGCTCGTCTACACGGCAGGGAGCTACAGTAGCCACGCAGTGGGAATCGCAGAAGGCACTGCAGGGCCCTATAGCACTATGTACTGTAGCGAATCTACTGTAATAAATCTGTACTGTAGCGGGCACCCTGTAGCACCACACTGTTCATGAGTTCCTGTAGCGCGCAGTGGAAAATCACAGAGGCACTGCAGGCTTTAGTAGGCTTCCAGAGTTAGGCTTTAGTAGGCTTCCAGCCAGAACATTAAGGATTAAGTGTTCAGAGCCACCCTGTGTGCACAAATCTCAATGAAACATGGGTATGAATGGAAGGCTCAGATAAAGGATACCGTGTAGCCCCAGCTACGAAAAACCGCGATGAAGATGAAGTAGAGCAGTAGGTGAACCATTGAATAATCGATGAATAATTTCGTATAATCAAGTCATAAATGTGCGGCAGGGTCCATCCTCTTTTTCTGCCCACATATATGAAAAGCACGGATGGACCGAGCAACCAGTATATGTGGGTTGATATTTTTCATGGACATGCCACATTCATTTAGCAAGAAGGCCACTCCTTTGGCCATCATTAGGCATGTGAGGCATTGGGATCTTTTCCGTGACAAAATTATCAACTCCAGCAGCTGTAGGATTCAAATTCCTGCGAGGTCAAGCTTCATAGAGTGATCGTTTTGTCAAGAGTGTTGCTTCTCTTCACAGTTCAGGCTGCATGGCTGAAGAAAATAGTGGGACTAACCGGGACTAATCAATCCATCCCACTTAAATTGCTTTGCTTTAGTGGGCTCCCGTTGGACAGGACAAAAATTAATCAGGTTGTCCCATTTAGCCGGGTAGATCATTGATGGCTCGTGTCACCGCGCCCGTCTATATATTTGGATTTGTCTTAAATATAGAAGAGATATGAATCATGGACCTTAATTAAATTTTCATCTATGACCTATATATTTGTTATCAATAGGAGAGAGATGAAATTTAATTGATTTGCAAGGAAGTATAGGGGTAGTATGGCAGAGCATGGGGTTTTTTCGGTCTAATGGGCTTCTGTTAATGCGAGGATAGTCGACAAGTGATGGGGTAGATAACTAAAATATTAATCCCTTTGTTTCTAAATGTAAGTCTTTTTAGAGATTTCAATATAAACTATATACAGATGTATATAGACGTATTTTAAAGTGTAGATTCATCCGTTTTGCTCCGTATGTAGTCAATATTGAAATTTTTAAAAAGACTTATATTTTGGAACAAAGTGAGTAGAAGGAAAGTATGCTTCATATTTGGGACTGTAGATTAGTATATGATGCTTCAACAGTAACTTGAGGCATTGTTCCTAGCAGTATAGCAGTAGAGCTGCTGTGGAGTAAGTGCGCCTCCAGGCATTCCGCTGTTGTCACGTTCAGGCAATGGTGGTATGTTTACTACCACTTTGATTTGTACAATGTGCTGAAATGCTTTTTAAATACTCTCTCCATTTCATAATGTAGAACTTTTGCGCTTTTCGAGATTCAAGTTCGATCATAAATTTAATCAACATGGTCGACTGCGGTGGGAGCAAAAATTATACCATTGACAAAATACAAACTTATATTTTTGAGATTCAATTTTTGCTCCAGCCGCAGTTGCCCATGTTGGTTAAATTTATTGTTAAACTTGAATCTCGAAAAGCGCAGGCACACTACATTATGAAATGGAGGGAGTATAGCAACTGGCACATTAAACTGATACCACTCTAGGTAGTTGTCCTGGTACAAAACAAAACTCCAGTATTCTTTGATCTTTTCTCAGCAGAACACAAGTCAATGGTGATAACCTCATGTGAGATTATTTTGAAGAGGGGAAAGTATATTTTTCATCCCTCAACTCTTTCAAATGTATAGAAATGATCTCTCAATTTCAAAACCAGCAAACTTCAGTCCTTCAACTTTTAAAACTGGATAAGTTTAGTCCTTCATACCACTTTAGATGATTTTTTTGCTGATATGGAGTGGTTTTTAATTGGAACTGTGGGATCAGCGCTAAGTCGATGGTTTTAGTGGCCAAAATTAGAACTGTGTGGTGTAGTAAGAAATAAATAGATAGACGTACAAAAAAAAAACTTTGTGGGTCAAGAGATTCGTACTGGGAAGCTCGCGCTAAGTTGACGCACAACCTAGCCAACTAGTCACCTACGCTTTCTTGACATCTTATACTCCCTCCGTCAGAAAATACTTGTCATCAAAATGAATAAAAAGGGATGTATCTAGAACTAAAATACATCTAGATACATCTCCTTTTATCCATTTTGATGACAACTATTTTCGGACGGAGGGAGTATATTACTAGCATCGAACAAGCGCGGCGCATGCTGCGCCCGTGACTGATTCCGTCTCTATTTTGTCAAAATAAGCAAGAAAACAGCATGTATTACATAAAAAAATGGAATGAGAAGGAGAACACGAATTCTATCTTTACACTATGATCGGTGTAGGCGTGTATCACTAATTAAATGATTTAACAAATTAAGTAAACCGGCTTGCATATTAATATTTTTTCATAAGCACATATTTTCCTCTTTCATAAGTTTTAAAAAATGTGACGGGCGTGGTAGCAATTTGTATTTGGATTCATTCTCATATGGCCTGTTTGATCAACAGTGATATGGAATGAGATTGTTACCAACGTATATACACTCTATAGTAGGGAAATAATTCTTGTCCAGTTTGTGCATCTTTTTCACCTACATTTCATATTCAGTTCCTAGTGGGCATTCTTTCATTCCCTCTCAAACATGGATTTATTTAATGAAATTATTATTTAAAATTTTGTAAGTAATATAAATTCCAAATTTGCCGTGGTGTAAAAATAAATAGTAATTGGTGAATTACTTATTTAAATGTGGTATCTATGAATGGCTAATCTGATAGTAGGATGTTCAACCCAACTGCTTTTGAAACTATGATATAGGATAAGTGGTATATCCATACTTCGGAAATTTTGGCGGCTGAGGAATAAATGGTTCTACAATAAACACTATCCTCCGTGGATGATCCACTGTCTTGTAGTTTTCTCTTTCTCTTTAAATTAGTTGAAGAAATAGAATAGAGAATGGAGCAAACTGGTTGGTCGAGTGATAGTTTTAATTTTCATGTTCAATCTTCTCGTCGGCTGCTTATAGACTGTTGTGATGGAGCGCGTCATAGAGGTGGCTTCAGTGTCCGCATTGTGGTTGAAGCCTTGATCTGGTTGGCCACAGGGCAGGAGAAGGCGAGGTAGACGACTGCAACAACATCAGGAATTCTCCTTGTGTAGGTGAACGCACCAAGGGAGAAGGAGTCTCAGTTTTTTTGGTATTTCTTTTGGATTACTGTTCATGTGAATGCATAGTGATGATTTACTGTTTTTGTTGTTCCGGTTTATTTGGGTGTATTGCTCTTGGTTACAATTCGGTTATTATTTTGGTTTATGGTTCGAGTGGGTTAATGTTTACAGTTTATTCAGGTGTTATTCTGTTTTACTGGTTTTACTGTTCCGGATTATTCGGGTTTGCTGTTTCAGTTTATTTGGGCTATTGTTTCGGTTAGCAGTTCTGGATTCATTTGGATATTGTTGGGGTAATTGTTGGTGCACTGTTCACTGATGTCGCGATGTAAAAAACAGACAGTCATCGGTCAAGGACTTATTTTTCCCATGGGATACTGTTCATGGAAATATATTGTTCCACTCTACTATTTTGTGTCTCGGCAGCACCATCGCCCGGAAGGATTGGGAGACGATCGAGGCGGCTCTGCATTGGTACGCCGGTGAAGAGAAATGATGTGTAGAAAAATCTTAAATCTTAACCCACTAAAAAAGCTCCAGTTTTTTTATTAACAACTGGTGTATTTTTTTCTCCGAAAACACTGTTCCCACGAGGGGTGATGTTCATACACGATTGTTTTGTAGCACTACTGCTTACTGGTGCCACGTAATTGAACAGTAGATGTTTAAAAAAAGTCAAAAAAGGAATGCTTCCCGCTTTAGTATATTAACTTATTTACGAAAACACACCTGGCATGATAATATATTCTTATCGTCCAGAAAAATATTGAACAACATATGTGCAGAGAACCGAAACTGCAAAAAATAAAGAAATAAATCGCTTTTAAATGAGTTAATATCAATTGTTATTGTAAACATGTTTAATATCTGCTATTTTTCCTTTGGCTGATTCATGCTGTGTAATAGTATATCTTTCAGGGGAACCCTTGAGATATTGGCGTTGAAGATCTAGTAAGTAGTAACAAGGAGGTACAGGCCAAGTTTCCATTCGAATTTTTACTAAAATTTCGCTAGGCACCTTTACCTTCCCGAAGCCCGGTTCAAAACCTTCTACTGTTGGCCAAAGAGAAAGTAGAAAATTTTGCCAAAATTTGGCAAGGCAAACATGGACAAAAATTGACATCAATCTAAGCTGGTGCAGAGCATTTAGATTTCTCCAGCGGCATGAACCCCAAACAGATCCATCACCATCAGTTCAGAACCAAATGGTATCACAAGGCAGCCATGTGTTTTCCCTTTAGCTATATCTATCAGCAAAGTTTTACCACTACACAACAATGGTCCACTCTGAAACAAGCTGTATGTATAAACGTCGGCTTAGCTAACACAGCAACGGCGGCAGCACTGTACAACTAGCAGCAAGAGCCTATGCGCCGCTCCCTGGTCGCTGGTCGGCGGCGGGATGTTGCTGCCAGTCCTGTTCGACGAGGCGGGAGGAGCTGAGCTCGGTGGTGCTGTAGAAGGACTCGTCCGGGCAGAAGCCCCCGTACTCCTTCTCGTCCTCCCACCGGAGCACCTCCCTGATGTACCGGAAGGCCTCGTCGACGGTGGGGCCGTCGCGGGCGCGCGCCTGCCACACGAAGAGCTTCCGGTCGCCCGTGTGCGCCGCGTACAGGTTCTTGAACTTCATCGCCACGTAGAAGAAGGCCTGCTGCGCCATCGACTGGTTGTTGTGGGTGCGGAGTGGGTCGAAGTCGCTGAACCACTCGCAGGCGGTGAGCGGGGACCGCCCGATCTTCTCCTCGAAGATGTCGAACTTGTTGAGCACCAGGACGAATGGTGTGTCGCGGAATGACGGGTGCCTGGGCGAAGAACGTATAGAGTCGGTAAGTTTTCATCTAGGAATTGAGCTTAGCTAACCCTAGGCAAGCTGTAAAAATGTTCTCATTCTCTATATTAGGCAAGACAGAATCGGTAATGTGCAGTTTACCAGATTGTTACCCCCTACAGGACCATTTAGCAAATGCAACTGACAAGGTTACTACTTTACCTGATTGTGGCCTCAAACAAGTCCTTGCTCTGAATCATCTTATTCTCAAGGCGCCTACTGCTGCCACTGGCAGGGGCTCCCAGCTGGTCATAGTCGCTGAGTGCTACGGAGAATATCACCGCGCGGACATCCTCAAACATTTCAACCCATTTGCAGCCCTCATTCAAGCCCTTGGCGTTGACCCTAATCAGCTGATATCTGATAAGGGATAAAAGTAGATGAGAAAATTAAGTTTTTTTGCAACTTGTTTCTCACGAGGAAAGAGTCATCAACCCATGCAAATGCAAGACGCAGGCAACCTACATACTGCACTACTTATGAAGTAGGGAAAAATTACAGTGGCTATGCCTTTTCACCACGATCAACAGATACGTTCCACAATACCGACATCAATGTTAATATCTTTAAAAAAATTGCAAAACTTTTTCAGGTAAACTGTAGACCGCAAATAGAAGGATTTAGATGCAGTTTAGACATGAGCCAGGAAGAGAGCTTACTTGTTTTGTGCCTGAGAGCTTGGGTCATGACTGTCACCATAGAGTTCTGACATAGGGTTCCTTTCGTCCAGAGTGAAGTCAATAAAGGCCAATCCATTTCCTTGTGATACTCCTTCAGCATACAAGACATCTTTCTCTGAAGGTTCATACTCATTGCTTGATACTTCAATAGCCTGCAAAGATGGCATAAAAGAGACAAATCAATTTATGTACTCAAATAACAATTAGTGTGTACACACACAAAAGCAAGGGAGATGCACTGTGCTAATGCTGGACCATTCTAGACAAAGGAAGGACGATGGGTGATGTCCAGAAACACAAAAGACCCTTAAGAGATTGACTATATGAAGTGCTGGTGCACCATAATCTGTGTAATACAGGCTGTGAACAGGTTAAAGTAAGGGACCATTCCGCACTGAAATCACATAAAAATTGTTTGATGTATACCCTGCTCAAGAAGTATTCAGCAACATCAGGGAGAAAATACAATTCATCCTTTCTTTTATATGTTGCTTGTATGGCAGGATGCTTCCACAGCTCATCAACAACTGGAGCGTATTCACGTGTAGCTGCAGGGAAGAATGCATCTAGGTCTCCCATTGCTATGATGTCCAAAAGCCAATCTGAGAACTTCTTCAGCTTTGCATTTATTGAGTATATGCAGGAATTTAAACCACTTGATTCATTTCCATCTGCATAAAAAAATCAACTTCAGGACACTGCATATGATCTTCAAAAATATTAGTGTAAGAAATATTAGTTTCCTTGTTACCTTGTTGGGTATACTCATCCTCTGAATTTGGGTTATTTGATACAGCCAAAGCCTCTTCCTCGAAGCGCTCACGGCCTTCTAGCAGAATCCCAAGGTACTTGAACATGTTGCTTTGGATCATTAGTTTGATATTGTCAAGTTCTTCTGGGGTAAATCTGCTTCCATATAGTAACTTAGCCTGTGTTGTAAAACCGAACACCATGAAAATACATACAAAATAAATAAAAAGTCAAAAGTAAACGAATTGGACTGTCAGGATTCAGTTCGATCGAGATTGCATGATATGATGAACAACTTATATGGTATTCCGTAAAGACTTTGAGACATTTGTTTGAAGCAAAGATACCTATGAGGCTACGGGGACTAGACTAATGTATAAATACCCCCTAGCTTGTAGGAGAATGTACCATGGCACGCATAAAAATGTCATCTGAAACATTTACAAATGTAAAAACTAGCCAAACTCCAGAACAGTAAAAAAAGTTTATACACCAAACCGCTTTTACTACATGTAGGGAAAAAACTTTAGCAATCAACTTCCAGCCATAGTTCGCTGGAAGCATATAGGTAAGTTGAAGTCCAGACGAAATAAACATCTAACAGAACCTAATGCATTAAATTTTGCTACAAGAACACGGTCTGACCTGCTTAAATATGGTGCTTGTTCCAGCTCCAGGTGATCCAAGAATAAGAAGTTTTTGTATTCTTTTTTGGTCTAAGTATTCGGGCACTGTTCTTGCTGAATAAGGAGCATCATCTCTGGGCTCAACAGAGTTTGCAGGAGGCACCGGAAGTGAAACCAAGGTGCACACAAAACGTGTCAAAGGCTGCATAACAGGGGATACAGAAAATCATGTTAAAACAAGCAAAAAAAAGAAGAAGGAAGAAGAAAGAATTGAAACCGTGTTGAACAAGATACATACTGACTCCCATATCTTCCCTTTGATGTTATTTTGGCCTTCTTCCTCATATCCACCATCATGATAGACCCAAAAGTGAGTATCGCGGGGACATTGAACTTGTGCAAACTGTAAGAATAATGCAGATATTGTGAAAAGCCCAATCAAAATACAGACACGCCATAATTATAATGTACACAAAAAGGTAAGGATTATCAGTTCTGTGTGGCTTAGAGTGCGCGTCGATACCTTCAGAATTTTCCGTTCGATGCTGGTAATTTCCCTTCCATTCATATAAACCTGAGTGTTGCCATTACTAGCATTGGGCTGAATCTTTCCATTGAAGTTGAGGTTAGTGCTGACAACCCGGTTTGGCTTTTCCCCTTCCTGACAGGGTAAACGGAAGATTATTAGCAGCAAGTACAGCTCTCAAATAAGACTATGTTTCCTCTACTACCAAGAGGCTTACCTTTCCCCATAAGCCAGACTCCTTGTCATACCAATATCTTCCAGGCTTCAGATTTTGAGGAGGCCTTGGGCAACTAAGCAAGTCTGACATCTCTTCTTGACAAAGAGGGAAGCCATTGACGATGAGCTGCTCGGGCCGGAGCTGGTTTGCCTGGCACTCCTTCTCGGCTTTCAAGATTTGCCTTACCTCCAGCGAGCTGAGCAGCCGTGATAGTATCCTCGAGCTCTTCCCTAGCTTCGACCTCTTTCCCTCATAGATCGGCCGGCCAATGCAAGTGATACACTTGCGGCCTTCCGGCATCGATCCCATGGCCCTGAGCAGGCAGTAGCCGCAGTACCTCTTGTCGCAGACGATGCACGACTCCTTGCTCTCCCACTTCCTCTTGCCGCACCGGTCACAGGTCTTCCCCCTCTTCTCCGTCCTGGTCACTGCCACAAACTGCTCCGACCTGGTGTCGTCAAGCTCGCTGCTCTGGTCATACTTGCTATCATCAGCCAGCCCGAAGGTCACCACGTGAGACCTCCTCCCCTCCGGCGCAGCCATGGCACGCCTGCTGCCGTCGCTCTGGCCCCGGTAGCTCGGCGCAGACTCACGCGACACGGAGCGCCGGGAGTCGTCGTCAGAGTCGGAGTACCCCTCGTTCCGGGGACCTGAGTGGGCAAACTCTGAGCTCCTCCTGACCTGCACGGGCGACGGCGGCTCCTGGCGCGCCCGGGCTGCCGGCCTGGAGGCCTCGTCGCGCGGCGCCGAGTCGGCCGGCCCCGCGCCTCCCCTGGCCTGCGGCGGCTCCGCCCGGGCGCGCGCCCGGCTCGCCGGCGGCCTGAAGACGGGCGCGACGGGCACGGCGGCGCCGCCGTTCCCGAGGAGCCCGTAGGAGGCGGAGACGGGCTCGGCCGTGGGCACGTCGGCCATGTCGACGGGGGCGATCCTGGGGACCTCGTAGGCGACGGGCGGGCCGTCGTACTCGAGCGCGATGGAGTAGTCGAGGTTGCCCCCCGCGCCCTCCGGGATGGCGGCACCCGGCGGCAGCATCCGCCGCAGCATCTCCTCCCAGGTGGCCGCCTCCGTCGCCCCCGCCATCTCCCCCTCCCCTCCCCTCCCCTCCTCCGGCGCAATCCGCCGAACACCCGCCGCGCAAGGAGGAGCTCGGTGGAGTCGAAAAAAGGTCTGACCTTTGGTGGGGAATTTCCCGGCTTCGTCGCCGCCGCCGCCGCCCTATCCGGCCTGGCTTGCCCCGACGACGGTCAAGGCCCTGCGCTCCCCACCGCACATCGGCAAGGGCGGTCAACCGGAGACGCACGGAGGAAAGAGGGAAAATCGAAATCTTTGTGGAACGGGTCAAGCCGCCGGGCGGGGAAAGGGACGGCCGGCGCGGTTGGACGGACCGGCCGCGCGCCACCAACCGCGGAATCGAGATTTACCGCCGAACTCCGGGGGTGGAAAGCAAATGGTGGGCGAGAGGGGGAGAGCGGGTTCAGACTAGGGGAGGAGACGACGGCCGTTGGGGATATTTCGCCGCTGGTGCGGTCGTGTGATGGTGGGAGTGGATTGTTCACCGTGCTTGGACTACGGTAACAAGTTAATCAACGGCTAAATGTAGAATCTTTGAGTGATACTATCTGCTTCCCGGTTCATATGGCCGCTGCTTTTGTATCAATCAAAATTTTGAACTTAATCTATTTGATACTCCCTTTGTAAGTAGTAGTATTCTTAAACCTCGTTCTTATGTTTTTTTATGGAGGGAGTACCATGAAAGTTGATTTGTTTCTTGATAAATTTCGCCAAATGTAAACGGGCATGTTTGGTTATTGTAAACAGACATCGGTGTGTTTCTTTTCTTTCA